AGAGAAGAACGTAGTTGAATATATATATATATATATATATATATATATATATATATAATATACTGTTATTCGTACATATATTTATATATATATATATTTTTTTTTTTTATGTTGGGTATATACACGATTTTATTGTACCATGTTGAACAAATTGATTTGAATACCTTCCCTTTGGCACTTCGTATAGAATGGACAACTGTCAAGAAGTGCTCACTTTAGTAGAAGTATTTTCATGCACTCAGTAAAATGACAAGGAATGGTGGCAACCAGCAGAAAAACTCCCTGCAGCTACTTAGCAAAGCTGAGCACTCTATTATGCTGGATACATGCACCACTTGCATTGAAACTCAAACATTTTTGCCAACAAGGCATTGTCGTCAGTTTCCTTTACTTAAAACACAAACACAATGTAATTTTCATTACTAAAATAACACATGGAATGACAGAATATGGTTATAGATGGTATATTAGACAATCACATTGTATATATGCTCTGACCCATGGTTGACTGCAAATTTTATGTACATTCACTACTACTTTTAGGATAATTACCATTGAACTGTTTCAACTGTAATCTGCTAGTAATTATATAAGAGCATGATATTCAGGATTACTAAACTCTAAAAAAATATCCTTCCACCTATACCTGATAAGTCGAAGCTCAATCACCTTTTGGCAAGTGAACTTAGGACCCAAATATATCATTCTTAATCAACTGAAGCATATTCAAATGGTTTTGTTCCAGATAAAAAAATCTTGGTTCACTAGAGAGTGAAAAAAACAACTGGGCATGAAAGAATGTAAAAGCCACAGGGATGGCTCCTGCAGTTCAATGGCAGTATTAAAGCTAGATAATGTTGAAAACTTCTTGTCCCAGTGACTGAAGATAAAACATATTCTATGTTATAAAAAAGTTAAAATCATAGTAGTTTTGGTTACCACATATGCATAAGATTTCATTCACAGCTGGATGCTTCATATTTCTATTTTACCTTGGGAAAATTTTTTCTATCCTTAACAGTTGTTTTTGAGAGCTTAAGATATAGTAAATATAATGACTGGTACTTTAAAATATAAAATTTTATTGTCCTAGATTTTGCATAACAGTAGCTTTAGTAGCTTTCGGCAAACACAACCAAAATTAAGATAAGACAGAAGATTATTTTATCCTCTTCATTTCAATGTAGTGCTAAAAGTTTCTAATATAGGCGCTATATTAATCATTGAGCAATAAATTTACATACTTTGGTGATAAAAGCATTTTCTTGTAAGTCACATACACTATCCTACCAAAAGTCATGGGGCACACCTCTGATTGCAGGAAAATGGGTGTGACGACAAAATATGCAAATAGTTTGGCCTATAAAGGTGATCAGCAGTTTGCTTGGAAGTCATTTCAAACTTGTACGGCAAACGATGAGTGCACGGAAAGAATTAAGAGAGTTTCAGAGAGGAAGGATAGTTGGATGTCATTTGAGGGAAATGTCTGTATATGCTATTGTGCAACAATTAAACATTCACAGGTCAAATATTGACAATGTGCTGAAGAAATGGAAGTCCACAGGTGACAATGAGCCTAAGAAATGACCAGGTAGGCATAAAATACTGACTGTCAGGAGCCAACGTGCCTTGAGAAGGCTGGTTACCTCATCTCGGGATCAGACCCTAGAGAATCTGTGTTTGTAGATGTGAGCAGCCACAGGCTATCCAATGTTTCCACAACATGTCGAGAGCTGCATTCCATGAATTTTCATGGAAGAGCTGCAGCCCACAAGCCATTGATAACAAAAACATATGCATACCGTCGAATGACATAGAGCAAGGCACACCGAACCTGGACTATGGATTCACTTCCACTCTGACGGACGTGTTTGGGTATGGAGGATACCTGTAGAATGCTTATTACCTGAGTGTGTTGTCCCAACAGTGAAGTTTGGAGGTGGCAGTGTCATAGTCTGGGGGGTGCTTGTCATGGCATGGACTAGGTCCACTGGTTGCAGTGCATGGATCCATAAATGCTGTGGCCTACACTGATGTTCTGAACAATTCTGTGTGTCCTACATTGTGACAATTTTATGGTACTGGCCCTTGCACCTTCCAATGTGATAACACTCTATGTCACAAAGCAAGAATTGTGACTGTGTGGTTTGAAGTGAATAACATCGGAACATTGCAGTAGCCAGCACAGAGCCCTGACTTCAACCCGATAGAACATCTTTGGAATGAACTGGAATGCAGAATTAGGGCAAGGCCAAGATAACCCTCTTCAGTAGTGGAGCTTACTAATGCTTTAAAGGAGGATTGGAGCACAATACCACCAGCTTTATACCAGAAATTAGTAGACAGCCTTCCATAATGCATTGAAGCAGTAATTAAGGCCAAAGAAAGGCCAACATGCTATTAATTTCTTGGAATAAAGACATTTTTATTCGTAACTACCCATGTCCCATGACTTTTGTAGGATAGTGTATATTCTACACAGAATTCAATTAAAAGTTTGAAAAATCATCAGTAAAGATTTCACAATAGAGATCTAAGTCCCCAAAAGTGTTTGCTATTTTAATGCATACTGAAATATTTTAACCACTATAAACTTTATACAACTGAGTGAGTGAAAGAATCAAACAATTTAAGTCTTTGAAGTTGGTGGTAAAGTATTACAACTGACATGTTAACTCGAATTTGTTACACATCATAATGAAATTCCTGTCTTTATTCTTTACAAATATACTTCTCCCACTTTTTCAATATTTATTAACATTTTTTACCACAAACATGTCCACATAATCTCATGACTATTTTAAATACACTTTTTACTTACCTCTATACAACTGCTTGATAATAAATAGTATGATATTATGTTTCTTCACTTCATTTTGTCTAAAAAATTACATTTACCAAAATGCAATGATAATGAATTGGAGATACTTGTATATATGAACTGCTGAATTACTCTTTAATTGCTCTAGCATGGATCATCTTATGCTTTCTAAAACTCTTCTTGGTTTTTAAATTTTTGCTGCACACATCACAACTGTATTTCTGCCCAGTGTGGATCTCCTTATGTAATTTCAGAGTTGATTTCTGAGCATACTTCTTGCCACACACATCACAACTATATGGTTTTTGTCCAGAGTGAGCTACCTTATGAGATTTAAGGTTTGAACTCAGAGTAAACCCAAGCCCACATATATTACAACTGTATGGTTTCTCTCCTGTGTGTGTCTTCTCGTGTAATTTCAAATGTCCCTTCTGTGTAAATGTTTTTGCACAAATATTACAACTATATGGTCTAATTCCTGAATGAATCCTCTGGTGCTCTTTTAAAGTATCTTTACGCCTAAATGTTTTATTACATACATCACAACTAAATGGTCTAGCTCCAGTGTGAGTAACATAATGATTTTTTAGGAAAGAATTTCTTGTAAATTTTTTGCCACAAACATCACATAGATATGATCTATGCCCAGAGTGGATAAACTTATGTTTATTTAAAGAACTAGTGGTTGAATATTTCTTACCACATACATCACACAGGCATGAATTCTCCTTGGAGTGGATTCTCTCCCCAGTGTGAATCATTTTATGTTGTTTTAAGCGATCCTTTCTTGCATACGTTTTGTCACAAACATCACATCTGTATGGAATCTTCCCAGTGTGAATCATCTGATGTTGTTTTAAGCCATCTTTCCTGGCATACATTTTGCCACAAACACTGCAGATGTATTGTTCCCTCTCTGTATGATTCATCTAATTCCTTTTAAATCAGATCTTGAAAATGTTTTAGCACAGAAATTATTCTTTTATTGTCTTTCTTCCGAGAGGATGTTCTAATAAATAAGTTATCACCAAGATATCAACTATGTTGCTCCTCTGTACTATGAAGAGTCAGATGAGTTTAGGATGCAAAATTTTTATGTACTTGTCTACATATTTCTTATAACTGTATGATACTCCAGCATGAATCATTTCACAAGAAATTTTGCCACATACATCACAAAGTTGCTGTATTCTCAATAGCCTGATGAATGTTTTAAAACTGTAATCACATTCTTTGCTACAAAAACAAATATATATATATGGCTTCTTCCAAATGCAAGTACTACGATATTTCTTTAAGCCAGTTTTTTATCGAAACATCACAACTCTATAACTTTTTCTTGGAGAAAAGGCTTTTCTTTAATGCCTAAGAACATTGCCCCTTGAATTAAACATGCTTCATTGTTATCATAACTACACCTATATTTATCAAAGTTACAAGATTCTCAGCCTGAAGAGCAAAAATCGAGTTTCTTCTTGATAATGTTAATACCTCCTTATACAGGTCTTGAGATCTATAATAAATGAATGGATAACAAATTTACTACACCACAGCTCACTTTCATAACTTCATATTTATAAATTTTCCATGACATTATTTTCTTACAAATAGAAAAAAATCCTTAATATATGCAAGTACAACAGGATAAAAAGATAAATGCAAGAAACATTATCTCAAATAAATATAGTATTTTAAACATGTCAATAAACTTTAAAACAGCTCACATTATCAATAATACATCATGTTTTCTTTTGCTGCACTATCAAAATAGCGGGAGATTATCTGTTAAAGTTGGTGGTAACAAATAACTAAAAAATACATTTCAATTACCAAATTAAACATATCTGAATTACCATAAATGATTCAACTACTGATTACAGGAGGTTATAAATAAATACAGGGGGATCTACTTTCAGTAACAATTATAAGACAAAAATGTATAAACTGAAGAGTGACAGTTAAAGAAAATACAAAATACCTGAATAGATTCACCCACATGAAAACCAGAATTTAAGTAAAATCAAAAGCATCACAGCTACAATTACAAAACTGTTAAATCAAACATCTTAGAAACTACAAATTACATCATTAGTGGTCTGTAAAAATATTTATATTGAAGATGGTATGCAAAATATGTAAAAGAAGTTTCTCTTTAAAATTAGAAACAGAGTAATTACATCAACAATAACTTTAAAAAACTTCTGAAATATAAACATAAATATTTAAAGGCCTTATAGAACAAAAGAAATTGAGGTTTATGTCTAAAAAAAATAAACATTTAAGAAAGAGTTGAGAGCAGCTAAAGTTTTTTAAGTTCGAGTGAACATTCAGTAAACTTTGAATAAATTATTACTGGATGCATCAAGTTTTAATTTTGGAACTATACACCAAAACAGTGGTTGGTGTTTTCACTTTGTGTAGTAACAAGAGATGCAAACAAGGACTTGAAAGTTTCTGACCAGTTCTGCTTGAGACACCCATGTGTTCACAGGTGCTCATTAATTCACTGGCATGAGGTTTTACCAAGATATGTATCCTTACATAAACCCCATGTAGACAACCCATGAATACAGCCAATATCAGGGCTTGAAATTAGTGGTAATTAGTTGGCATGATGCTAGTGAGTTTTAGTGTTTAGCCAGTGATCATCAAAGGGCACTGAATTTATTATGACCATTCTGACCAATTGGAAACTACAGTAAAAAAAAGCTGGTTACAAATATAACATCACAAATGTATAAGTTAGTAAAATAGTATATTTACAAATAGAGATGGCAAGGCCTGTGATATATAACTATTCATATAATAGAAATTGCAAATCCAAACTATTCAAACAGAAAATGCAATTGTAAACTGTTCAGATAATAAAGAACTCAATGAAAAATTATATAAACAATTATTCATATATTCAAACAACAAACTTAATAAGCATAAAATATAAGTTTGTCTTGAATGAAGATGTCATCAAAATATGCGATGACACACAATAACAGTATTAGTGATGCCATTTTGAAAGGCGGGGTTATTGGTCACAAGTAAATTTTTTGTCATTCTTGCTGTTTTTGTATAGCTTAGAGATGGAAGACAACTGTTACACTCATCAAAATAAATATTTTTTTAATATTAAAACAAAGGCAATTGAATAAATTAAATGAAGTTTTCTGATATTTATTGATTTAAAACATTTGTTTTCAGTTTCACGAAATCTGGTTTAGGACTTTTATTGTGAGAATAGAAAGGACCAGTGATTTTGGCACTATAAGATCTTACACATTAACAGCATCAGCAAAATAAAACTTCATATAGTAGAATGCAAACGGATTTAACTAAGCCAACCTCATCTTGTTTCACCAAAAATATTTCTTTTCCCATCATACTGCAACACCATAAAATTACATGAAGAATAAAATAAAATTATGACTTTAATTGTGGCAGTTGTTCACATGCATCTTTTCTTCTTGCAATATATCAATAAGCTAAGCTTTTAACACTTTGCACTGATCTCCAAGGAAATCTATGCTAAACTGAAAGTCATATTTGATTATGTAGCTCAGAAAGAACAGAAAAAAGCTTTCATTACATGTTTAGATCACTAGATTAAGATTACTGAAAACTGAATTATCAGCAATTACATCACACCATGACAACCAAGGTTGAGAAACAATAATTTGCTAAAAAAATCAATGAAATTACACTTGAATTCAAGTTGCAAAGTCAAATTAGTGTAATTAGGTTCAAAACTATTCGAAAATCAACCCAAAGTCAAGATATGAGATTTTTTTAAACCTTTTATATTAATCTTTTGTATAAACTTAAATAAATAAAAACTGATTGAATAAATTTCAATACTGGTGTTTTTTACAGTGTGTGTGGAAGAATGACTAAGTTAATTTTCTATACTTTTCTTAATAATGCAATACACCAGTCCAGGCATGAACAACGCAGTTTCAATACTGTTTCAAAGAACATCAAGGAAAATGCAGACTGACTTCCAGAAGTCTTAGGTGTAAAGATACAAGATGATTACATTTTCCTTCAAACCATGGAACACACTGATGGGAACAAAAATTAGTATTGTAGATTGTCTACAAATGGGCAATACATGCAGTTTAACTCTTTGTGCACGGGTGTGCTTTAAAGTTTGTATGCCATGACCTTGAACCTGGTATTATTATATGATGTAAATTACCAACTATTCATTTTACCTTACATTGCTAATTAAGCATCAGTTTCTGGAAGAAGAGAGAAAATACCAGATATGATATACAGAAATATTGATACAACTGAAGAGATATATTTTGGAGCTGCTAGAAATACAATATGCACACTCTATGATGAACAAAAGTACATTTAGCCTTCACATGAGTGTTATCTTGCTTTTTGACTTTTCTGTCTGAATCAGACTGGCATCGTGAATTGACACACATATCTTTAGTACAAACACTTTTGCAAGATATCTGAATTTTTTTTGTGTGTACAATAGACTTGTACATTTGACTCAGAGCTTGTCATATGCCATATAACAAAATTAGAATTCTAGTCAACATTCTTCTTCCAATACAGAGCCAATTCAATTGGAGAGCCTAAGCACATTCAGTTAAACAAGTACAGAAACAATGTGTAGCACAAAAAAATGTGAGAAAAATACAAAAAAATGATGATGTAATTCATAAGCAAAAATATTAAATTTAACATGCTAAATTTTCAGATAAATAACAAAAGGACCTGGTAAAGAAGTGAAGGGAAACAAGATTTCACAACTGTCAAGCTGGACACACAAAGTACTTATACCACAAACATAACAATGTTTGGGGACAACATGGAAATTATTGATCTATCTAAGCCATCCCATCCTCTAAACTAAACTAAAACTATTAAATAAAAATAATTTTTAAAAATCAAAGCCAGCCCTTATCATTCATATAGTTATCAAATTTACATGCAAGCAGAAGTCCCTAAACAACAGGCACATACCAGGCTGGGGAGCAGCAGGGAGTTTCACAACCTAATCTTATTCGTGATAAAACTCACATCTAAGACAGAGAGTAAGTTTCAGTTTGTTATTTTAATTAAAGTTGTTTATTGAAAATAACAAAAAGATTGCAACAAAATATTTCATCAGAATAAATAAAAGCTTTGGAAATCTAGTCTCATGTCATTTTTCTTATACTTATGTTAAATTTGGCAATGATATGAAAGTAAGATTATTATTTCTAAATAACATATCACATAAGGACAAGGGGCCTGTTTGTCCATGAAGGCTGTCTCATCCAATTCACACACACACACACACACTTAAGTCTAACCCTGACCATTTAAAGATTTATCAAACATTCATTTAAACTCCCTTAAATTTACTGAATCTGCCACATCTGAAGGCAACCCATTCCAAAGGCTAACCACCATGTTAGAAAAATAAAACTGTCTTAGCTGAAGATGACTCCTACGCTGCCAAAATTTATATTTGTGTTCCCTCATGCTACTATTCTCATTGTTAAATATGAAAAAAGATGATGCATCAACACTATCAGTTCCCTTTACAATTTTAAACACCTCAATCAGATCCCCTCTAACTTTCCTTTTTTCAAGAGAAAACAATTTCAAAGATTTTAACCTCTCCTTGTATTAACAACACCTTCTCAGGCACCATTCCAAAAATTCAATGTAAGGAGTCCAAGACTGAACAGAATACTCCAAATGTGGCCTAACCAGTGACCTATACAATGAAATTATAACCTCTTTAGCCATGTGTTCAATATTTCCGTACATACAGCATAAAATCCTATTTGCCCTATCACTAGTAACAACATACTGCTGGATGGCTTTAACGACTGATCAACTATTACACCAAGATCCCTTTCCTTCATAACAATGTTAAAGTTATTCCCATCCATATTACACTTATAATTCAAATTATGATAATCCACATACATTATCTTGCATTTATTACAATTAAAACCCATGTGCCATTTATTCACCCAACTCACTAAATGATTTAAATCCTTTTGTGAAACAGCAACATCCTTCTCACAGCCAACAACACACAAGACCTTAATATCATCAGCAAACTTAAGTAATATATTGACCATTCCTTCATCTATATCATTAATGTAAACCTAAATGAGCAAAAGTCCTAATACTTAGCCCTGAGGTACCCCACATGTAACATTAATCTAGTTTGAGTGAACTCAATTTATAACAACCCTCTGCTTTCTTCTATCCAATTAGCTAACTTATTCCCCACACCTATAGAGATAATTATTTTAAAAAGCCTTTTATGTGGCACCTTGTCAAGTGCTTTCTGAAAATCCAGATAGAACAAATGTATACCTTCCCTCATCTATATAAGCAGTAACACTTTCAAAAGATTTGTAAGGTAAGATTTTCCCTTAGTGAAACCATGTTGACTATCCAATAAAATTATAAACTTTGTTATATGACTTTGCAAAGCATCTTTTATCAGACTTTTCAAAACTTTTCCAATAACTGATGTAAGACTAATGAGCCTATAGTTACTGGGACAATTTTTAACATATAACATAACATTTTGGGACAACATGGGACCCATTGGTCCATCTCGGCTGTTCCATCCTCTAAACTAAACTAAAATGATTAAAAAATGAAAAAAATCTTAAAGCCAGCCCTTTTCATTCTCCCTTGAAAATTGGAGTGACATTAGTTACCTTTCAATCCTATGGTAGCTGTCCACTATTCAAGGACTTGCAAAAAATAGTAGCAAGTGGCTCACATATCCAGTCCTTACCTCCTTCAAGACCCTTGGGAGAAATATAATATGGACAAGGAGACTTATCATTCCTTAAACTTCCCAATTTTGTAACAACCTCAGAATTAATGTGATCATCTTGTTGATCTATCGACTGTTCAAGATGAGGAATACTGCTTAAATCTTCATTAGTAAGAACTGGAAAAAAGAAGAATTTAATAACCAACCATCTCATAATCATCAAACACAACTTTCCTTTATCATCCTTCAAAAGTCCCACCCCCATCCTAACATTTTGTTTACCCTTAATGTATTCAAAGAAATCTTTACTGTTAATTTTTACATTTTCAGCTAACCTTTTTTCATACACCCTTTTTGATGTTCTAATTTCTTGTTTGACAAACTTTCTTGATCTTCTGTAATCTTTTAAATCTCCTGTCATACCAGTCAATTTAAATTTCTTAAATTTACGATACATTTCTTTAATTTTATTCCTTATACTCTTTGTGAGCTAACCTGGTTTTTTACTTGCAGCCTTTTCTTTCTAGAAGAATTATGTTTGTCTTGAAAAATTTTTTAAATTTCCACATTTGATCAGTTTCTCCAAATAACTCAACTGCCCAATTCATAACAAATAATTCTTGTTCCATCCCTTCAAAATCTGTAACCAAAATATCGTTATTCCTGATCTCTATATGCAATAAAACATCAAACCTAATGTAGTAATGATCCGTTGCACCCAAATGTTCCCCAATTTCCACCCTCTCAACCATTTCTGTATTAGAAGCTAACAATAAATCTAAAATAGTATTGTTTCTAGTAGGTTTCTTAACCAACTGGTGAAGAAAATCATCTTGAACAGTTTCCAAAAACCTTTCTCCCTCATGGTTTGACTCTAGCATTTCCCAATCTATATGCCTGAAATTAAAATCACCCATAATTATGACCTAATTAACAGCTGAAATCTTAATCTCACTGTAAATTTTCTCATTAATTGAAGAAAATGAAAAATCAAAAGGGCTACACTTCCCAGTTGCTGAATCTAGTTGAGCAGTTGATCAATCATTAAGTAGATTATACTCACCGAAGAAAGTTTCAAGAATGATCGTCTGCATACAAATGACAGATACCCAAGAAATGACAAGAAATAAAATCACCACAAAGTATCATACTGGTGTCCAGGGCAATACTCTTATCATTACTGTAGTGCCATTGATGACAGGAAGTGAAGACTGAGAGGAAACTGGGCAAGTGGAACCTCTCAGAAGATTTGTTTGGCTACAGGAAACTTCCTTAGGAAAAAACAGAATAAAACACTTTTTGCAGCCCTTTACTGTGTACAAGCCAGAGTAGTATCACAGGAAATTTGGATTCAAAATGTTAAAGCAACATGAAATTTCAGAAAAATTCAGTTACACCAGTAGTAGTTAGCATTATAGATATTTCATAGTATGTTTAGCAGGTTATTTTCTTTGTATAATGTCTAACATTGTTGTACATTCATGGATGATTTGGGTATTTTTTTTTAATTTCTTATTCTGCATCTTCATAAACATTAGTTTTTGGTTATATTATAGGTAAGTTACTGCAACTAACTCAATAAAATTAAAACAGTAACATGTTGTAAATTTGTCACGGATGCACTCTCCCCTAAATTACATTCTAGCATGGCTTAATGCATTTTCACTAGTTAAGACATGTTAGGAAGAACTTGATAAAATCAGGCATGTTACACTGCTGTTAAATTTTCAAAGAAAATAAATTATATGATAGAAGTTCAACAACAGCTAGTGTCTCTGGGTTCTTTAAGTGTTAATTATTTAATGTTACTTTTGTTAACAGTTTTGGTTAGATTTTATTATATCAAATATTATGACATTTGAATTTTTATTATACTTTTCTTAGACATTCTTTTGTGTTGTTAGCTTAATAGATACACAGTTAGGCCTAACCTCAATTTGCTAAGGTGATGGCTAAACCTAGGAGATATGACTTGGATTACACCCAAAAATAGTGTTAACAGTGAGGCTACCCAACTGATAAAACAATGCATTCTAATCTTTATAAATAGGAACATGAGAAAAATATATATAGTTAGCTATACTGATTGCCAGGTTGATTTTTAGTTTCACTCGAAATACATAGCTTGCTCTGATCAGAAGTTAACAGTGATGAGTTGGCATAATCAAAGGAGTATATTTTTACTATTTTCATCAGCAAGTTTTAAGTTTTCAAAATTTCACAATTTTGGAAACAGGAAAAATAAGATTCGAATTACAAGCTAGCAGTAATTGATTACACTCACTGCGATTCAATTTTAACTCAGTGCAACAGAAGAACTGGATCAGCAGAAGGATGGCAGTTTCCTTGACTGAGAGGTATAAGCTTCCAAAATTGCTCCAGTGTGAATCAGATATTTTTCTTCATTTGTACTGTGGTTGAATTTAGATTCTACATACTGTTGAAGTTAGTGAAGAAGTAAACTTTACAAGACTAGCTGTACACAGACTCGCATCTCAGTCCTACCATTTAGTATATTATTCTGTCAACTCCTGATAACACATTTCAATAAATCCTGAAATATTTTAAAGAAAATATATTTTTTTTATTTCACAGTTTTTAACTCTATACTTATGTTCTTCACTCAGGTATTATTTTAATGACAAAAACTGTTTTTGAATAACTTTTACTTTAAAATAAAAATTGCCATTACAACATGATCAATTTAGTTACAGAATTTTTTAACATATTTTGCACAGTACATTACTATAAGGACATGCATTAAACAAACTATGCTATATTAAGATGTTATTTAGCATACATGGTTGGTCACTTAACAGTTCTATACTTGTACTTACAGCATGACAGTCACTGCACTGAGTTATTTCTCTTATAAAGTTAGTACTAACCTATCATAATGGTTGAAACATCCTGATGAAAGCCTCTAAAAAGCTAGAAAAGGGTGAGACAAAGCCTTTGGGAAAAACCACACAGACAGGCCAGGAAAATCAACAATTTTGTCCAGTTTAAAGCAGCAATAAAGCAGTTAGGAGACACTTTCTCGTAATTTGTTAAGCTTGATGACAGAACCATACAGACCTAGAACAAGACTTTCCACCTGGTAAAATTTCATACATGGATAAAAATTGTGTATAGCAGTATCTGCTTTGCAATGCAAACATTTCTGGAAGACTTGTATGACAACAAAGGAACATACCACAATCAAAGGAACCTTTAGCACTCGTTTTCTATTACATAATTATTAGTCTGTATCTCTAATTATCTAGTATTATTAAATGATGCAATAAAAGTAGAACCTGTCAATGATGTAGGCGAACTGACAACTGTTCTGCATACTTACTTTATGTTACACAACAACCAGGTGGCATGTAGCATTTAATTTTTCACTTAGATTATAGCTTGCACTGTTGCAGCTGCATAATATCAAATGTGTTCTCTCATGTGACAGCCTAGATGTTGTACATCATTCATTTTATTCACAGTGACAGCTGGCCATTGTATAGCCTTGTCCTTATTTTTAGAATAAACCATGATTAAAGGAAATTTATAGGCCTGGAATATTTATTCCAAAAATCTATCTTTTAAAATTTCGCCACAATTTAATTCTTCGTATTGTTAACCGACACTGGGTAGCTATTACATAATTGAATAGAGTTGTTTAAACATGTTTAACAACAAGTAAAAGCTTGGAATGGTCTATTCTTTCATTGAGTGTCTGTCTTGAGCCAGACTAGCTTCGGAGAATTCCACTCCTCATCAGTGACCATGGACACTACCACCAATGAAATAACAACAACAAACAACAACATATGCGTTACTTCATTCCGATCCCGGGAGGAGGGGGGGGGGGGCGGTAGAGGGTTACGCCCTCTCGTCAGCCAAGCGACGAAAAAAGAAAAATGGTGAATATGAATAATAGAAGGGTAAGCGTGCAAGTCAGCACAGGAGGCGGAAAATGGGATAAACGCGATATTTGCAGATGGAGGAGACAATCCAGAGAAATATGGGTGAACACTGATCAGTCTATATCACATAATGGAGGTAGTGTGGGAACTGTCAACGGGTATTGCGAGTATTATGAATCAGGATAGATAAATGGGAAAAGAGAGGACATCGGCATCTCCACGTGGTCGGTATTGTCAGCTGGGAGGGACATAACACAGAGGTTCAGTAGGTGATCAGCTGGTGCCAAAATGCTTCTCGGAGTGGATACAGTGGTGGCGAGAACATCGGAGAGATGAGATTGTGGTCATGAAAACATTTATTTACATAGCGAGTACGAAGGTGTAACAGAATGTGAGGAAAGTTGATACGGCGATAAAGGTCGGAAGTGGACTAGGGAGTGTGACGCCAAAACCTGGAGACGAGAGTAGAAGGTCAAAGAATCAGATATCTAGGCTGTATGTCCATAGGTTAAGCAGGGTCTGATAAATGTCTTGTATGTGTATAGCAGAAGTGGAGGGTTCAGGCCCCAGAAGGTACCAGTGAGAGAACAGAGGAGATGAAGACGTCGAGTAACCTTAGCAGAAAGGGCAGATAGGTATGGCTTCCAAGTAAGATGCCTATCAAAGACAATGCCTAGATAGGTCACGGAGTTGGATAGGGAGATCGGGATATTGGCGACCCGGACATCAAATAGAGACAGGTCACGGCAAGGGCGAAAGTTACGACGTGTTGGACCAAAAAGAATAGCTCGTGTCTTAGGAACATTGAGGGATAACCGTCAGTAGCAACACCAAGACAAAAAAGAATTTACAGCAGCCTGGAGTAGCTTGTTCAGAGTGGACATTGTGGAACAATGGGATACCAAAGCTGTGTCATCAGCATATTGAAACAACTGAAGAGGAGGCTGGAGGCATATCAGCTGCATAGAGGATGTACAGAATTGGAGACAACACAGAACCTTGTGGGACTCTAGCATGTAGTGTGAAAGTGCGAGAGAGAATCCCATCAATTGAAATAGTGGTGCACCACCTGATTAGAAAAGAGGAGATGAAATGAATATAGGGAATAGGAAAGTGTAACATATGCTGTTTGTGGAGTAAACCTTGATGCCAAACTGAGTCAAAAGTAAGCCGGAAATCAAACAGGAGAATGCAGGAGAGTCTTCGAGTGTTGAAATGATTGGAAAGTGATTCAGACAATTTGAGAAGTTGATCCAAAGTAGAAAGGCGTGGGCGAAATCCTGCCTGTGTATGAGGCAGCAGGTTGTGAGCAGCTAGGTATTGATGAAGACGGGTAACAAGGATGCATTCAAAGGTTTTACTGAAAACACTAGTGAGGCTTATAGGACGATAAGAATTAACATCAGAGGCAGGTTTACCCGGTTTCAGAAAAATCCGAATAGTGGATAACTTCCAGGAATCAGGAAAAAATCCTGAGGAAAGAAGAAAGGTGTAGAACAATGCAAGAAGTCGAAGGAATTGTAGAGGGGCAGACGGACTTGGCAGTATGTGATGCCATCAAGACCAGGGGCAGAGTTACATCTGTTCTTCAGCACTCACTGGACATCAGCTGCAGTAATGGGAGTATGTAAGAAATCATTGTCAACAACAAGGGAAGAACTAGGAGTAAGGTCAATGAGAGATGCAACGGTTGAGTTCACGATGGTTGTAATGTCACTGTAGTCAAGAATATGATGTTCCGGGACCTGAAAGTTCTGTTCATGAAAAACAACAAAATGGTCGGCCTTGTCCAAAGATGTAGAAGGTGCAGCACCATCAACAAGTATAGGATAGGAGGGAGAGCATCGTTGACCTGTGAGGAGCTTAAAACAGTTCCAGAATTGCGAGGAAGAAGAGGAATGACCGAGTTTGTTACAGGCCTGATGCCACCACTGACAATGGACTGCCCAACGAGTCCAAGTAGTCAGTCCAGGATGGAGAAACACCATGGGATGCAGGCTTCCGAGGTACACCCTCCATGGGTCGGGAATAAGGTTTTGGACGAACACGACAATAGTTAACATACTTATTTAATAAAACCGAAGACGATAATTTAAATGGTTTTTACTTTCTGTAATTAGCTGATTATTTTTATTTCAGGATGTGATACCTACCACAGAGAAAAGTATGGTTATTTATGAATTCTCGTGCCACTGCGAATGTTGGTACGTAGGTCGCACTTCACAAAGACTGCAGGATAGAATTAAACAACATGTACCTACATCCATAAGAAATAAGAGTG